GGGCTCATCGGCGACCGCCGCCTGGGTTTCCTTTTCGAGAACGTCGTGATGGAGCCCAAGGACGCGGCGGTGGTGTCCGAGGCCCTGGGGGTAGAGCCATTCGTCGCCTGTGCGTCGGACTTTGGCTGGATATCCCGCCCGCGGCTCTGGTGGATGTCGCCGGCGGTGACTACTCTGTCGCTCGACCCGGCAGAGGGACGGCAGCTCCAGTGGGGCAAGCAGGGGTCGTTCCGGCGACTTCGGCTGGAGTCGGCACGGGCACCGTCGGAAGACATGCAAGCGGATGGCCTTTTCTTCCATGAGGCGGTGACGTCGGGCCGGCTACGGCTGCCGCGCGCCACCGCGCCGGCGGAGGATGAACAGGGGCGACCGGCGCCCAAGCGTGTCCGGCAGAAACTGCCCGAGCCGGCCAAGGCGCGATGGGCGGCCGATGGCCGACGCTTTGCTCCCTGGCACTACGTCGAGGAGGCGATGATGCACGATGCCGCCGGCCGGTTGCACATCATCCCACCGGCGGCCAAGGAGAAGCTGCACATGCTGCCCCCCGGCTACACGGCGGCCGACTTCCTCGACGACCGGGCCCGGCACAAGATGCTGGCCAACGGTTGGCATTGGGGAGTGGCGCGTCGGCTGCTGGCCATGTTGGTGGTTTTGACCGCGGCAGGCCCAGCGCAGGCGGCACCGGCCCCGGAGCCCAGGCGGTCCACGATGCAGTGGATGGTCGAACAGTTTGGCGGCGGCCCGGTGCCCATGGAGCCGCCGCCACGCCTGCGACCGGACCTGGAACTGCCTGACGACGACCGGGACATGCACTGGCACCTGGCGGGTCAACTGGTACACTGCACCGTGGCACGCCGGCCGAACTTGGAGCCGGCGCTCGAACGGGTGCTGGAGCTATGGACGCGTTGGCGCCATGAGGTCACCCGGCTGCGTCGGGAGGTGCTGGTCGAGCTGGCGCAGCTGGTCCTGGACATGCAGGAAACCACGGACGAGTGGTTGGCGTCACGATCGGCGCCCGTCAGGTCCACCTACACGGTGCCCGGCAAGGCCCGGCACACGCAGATCCCCGTCGTGCTGAATCTCCTTGAGATGGTCGGTTACCCGGACGTGGCGGGCATAACGGCGGACCTTACGGACGGCTTTGACATGCTGGGCGAGCTCCGGCGTGGGCCTGGCTGGAAGTCAACCCGGCGTCGCTCGACACCTTGGCGTCGGTGAACTGGAGCTACGTCAAGGACCGCACGTCGAGGCCCAGGACTGGCGAGTACACTGAGAAACTCCTGGCGGAACTGGTGGACGAGACTCGACTCGGTCGTGTCGTTGGGCCCACCCGGCCCCCGGCGGGCTGGAACATTTCGACAGTCCCGTTGGTCAACGTGGCCGGCGCCGACCGGCTGGTACCACCACCGCCAGGCAGGCACTTCGTGGCGGCGTCGTTCCCCATCATTCAGGAGGACGAGAACGGCGCCACCAAGGTCCGGAGAGGCGAAGACTGGCGTCGGGCCGGCCACAACGCCACGGTGAAGGCGCACGACGTGCCGACACACCACTTTGT